ATTTAATTTGGCGACATTAGAAATGGATCAGCAGGTGGATGAAAAGGCAACTAAGAAGCATAGGTGGTTGTGTACATGAGAAGAACAATCTTCAAGGCTTTCTTTTGTTTTTTATATAAGTAAATACTGCTGCTGCACAGGAGCAGCGGAAGTACTGATAGCCTCGAACACCCACCACCTAACTTTGGTTTGGAGCTTTCAACATTTGCCAATTGCTATTTATTTATATCATTCTGCGCAATATGTTGCAGGCAGAAGGACAACTAACTTGTTTCCTAGTCCAGAGAGAAGGCATAAAGGTAGAAACGGAAACGGCGAAAGCTGGATCGCAGGCGTCTTCTGTTTCTGAGGTGTCCCTTAAAGGCACATTTGTGAGTGCAGAGTAGAAATAAAGTTAAAAACATTAATTTGCATGCTTAATAATAGATGAAACTACTTTGCTTGCATGCACCCCCATCCACTATCGGCACCCCTGCCTATTCGCTTTGCCTGTCCAAATCTAAACCCCGAAGTAACTGCAATAGCTTGAACTCCCTTGAATTTGAGTAATTAGTAAAAAGCGGTTGACCTGGTGGTGGAAATTAACCACGGCTTTCAGTTAAGGCCCTAGATCCTAACCCGAAGCTCTATGCCCTTAGCTTTAAGCACGAAATCTTAATCCATTCACCCTGTAGAAGCTATGCCAGAAGCATCAAGCCCTACGATCTAAGCCCGAAACTCTAAGAACCAAAATTCCCTAATATGCTTGCTTATGCATTTTGCTGACTTCGTGGACACGGAGCTCAGTAGAGGAACTGGCACACCACCTTTTGACCCTAAACCCTAAACCCCATCTTTTTTTTCATTGCTCTGTAGGTGCCCGACAGCCACGTCTTGGGTCCCGTGGGAGGCGCGAAAAAAATATGCGATGAGCTTTTAATGGACAGCCAAATTGGTAGGCAAAAGGCTTAATTAGCTGCATTAATTGAAAGAAGCAGAATTAAATCGCATTTTCTTATGATGTATAAACGGCTCAACTGAATTAATTGGAGTTGAACCAAAATCAAGCATTTGGGTTTCTCCTTCTCGTTCGCCATACTATTAGCTCCTGCTGCCTCTGTGTACTCGGCACAGTCTCTAAACCCTAAATCCTAGACACTGAATCAGTCAACGCTAAACCCTGAATTCAACTCCCACAAAAAGTCTCATTGGGCTGTCTGTTATCAAGCACAAGGCCCTGTGCCATAAACCCGGGGCCGAATCGCTGTGTATATGTCTAGGGTTTGCCCTGTGGGGTTTAGGCACCGGGGTTATTTTTAAGGGTTTAAATTTTAAGGTTTGTGATTCAGGAGTAGCTGCGCAGCAGCTGGGGCTAGCGGAGGGCGCGCTGCATGTCGCTGCTTCCTATCTGATAGAAAGGCGAAAAATAGATGAAGATGCAAAGAGCAGCTACATTAAATACGAAATAGCCAAGGTAATTAGCAATAGCAAACTGAATTGCTCCTATTTGCTCGCAGTAGTGGGTGATGCCTACTTACAACTTCAAGAAAAAGTACGCCTTAAAATTAGAGGAAGAACAGTTGACGCAGCAGCAGCGAAAGCAAACGTCTGAGGAACGAGGGGGGCAAACACAAATAAATACACATTCCCGATGGTGCACAAAAACAAGATGTATTTTTTATATTTGGCAGTCAATCCTGGACTCAGATCTAGCTAGATGGCTGCTACTAGCTAACCCCACGGTGCAACTCAGACGCGCACTACAGTTACATCGTTCGTATTTTCCTCCCCCATCGTTTTTGCGTTTACATTTTTTCTCAAAAATACTTTTCCTTCTGTCTCAGGCAGCAGCAGAAATCGAGTCTGTGAAAGCGCTCGTGCACTATGCCGCCTCCCTGCGCACGGCAGCCGCACCAGCAGCAGCAGCGGCAGCAGCAGCAGCACGGTATAAAGCAGCTGCTACTGCTGCAGCGGTGTCTAGCAAGTGCGTGGATCTCGTGGGCCCTTCGGCCCTCAGCAAGGATTTGGAGAAGTACTACAGAGACTCCAAATCCACAGCTTATGACCTCTGCGGTGAGGAGCAGCTGCTGCAGCCCATCTTTGATGCTCTCATTAACGAATACAATTGAGAGAGAGCAGCAGAAGCTGCGCTGCACGTTAGGAACTGCTGCTGCGGCTGCTTCAGTCCAAAAGTAACTGCTGGTTCCTTGAGATAGGAACAAGGGGCGCCTAGGCAGCTGGCTGCCACTGAAGCAGCACGAAATAAAGCGATTTGGAAGGACTACAACAGAAGACAGACAGACGAATACACATGTAAATGCACGAGCAAATAAGCCAATCAATAGTGCAAAGCTAGCTCCCTCGACGAAGTCTCCATCTTTCATCGTGTGTTTGAAGCCACAGTGCGGCAACTGATTAGCTGCATATTCATCGTCTATTTATTATTTTGTTTATTAACTTGTATATTATTCTCGATTAATTACTTGGTTAAAAGCGTGCAGAGAAACTTCTGAGGCGAATGCTACCCTTGTGTCTCTGTGCGACGCTGCCCAGCTATTCAGCTGCAGAAAAAGGAAAGCTGGAATTTAGTTTTTGTTCATATTTAGCCACCAAAATACGGAACCAACGACAATAATGAATCTTACTGGAAAACCAGCGAAGTCTCATTTTAGCTTCGCCTCTTCTCACTGCAGCGCTCACGAACAGTGCCTTCAGACTCAAGAAACTTGAAGCTGAAGACTTTTAAACGGTTTCATTTGTAATATTTATTCGTAATTAGCTTACCTGTAGGTGCCTCTAGTAGCTACGCTGCACTGCGCACTGGTACAAGCTACCATGTCTCAAGCAATTGTTTTGTATCTTTATATTTGCATTGCGTTCGCAAGATACACATTAATATATTGGATTTAAATATGAGAGAAACAAAAGATAAAAATTGAGTTTAAATTGACTTTCGGCTGTTCAATACGGGATAAGTGTATGCTCGTGCTGATTTGTAAACGCATACAAAATGCATATGCATATTTTGCATATGTAGCATGCATGGGCATACACACTTTGCGTGTATATGTATATCCACACAAAGTGTGGATATTCACATCATATGTGTGTATGCATGATACACATAAGCATATTATCCCGAATATGCACTGCATATACACAGGTGTATAAGGAAAACATATTGCGCATACCCCCATGAGCAGATGCTTGCATCCATGTTTATCTGCACAGATATGTAAACAGCTAATTGTTTCCACTTGGACTTAACGCCTTTGTGTTGACATGCCTGCGTTTGCAGCCTCAAGTATATGCCCTACTACACATAATATATCCCCCTGTTAATTTCTAGGCCCGAGTGAAGATGGCCCCTTTATATTTACATTCATATGCATGTACTATACATACGTATATATATACACATACATATAATACATTAATATCATATAAAAAAAAGATGCCCGCTATGAGTGTCTTAGAAAAGATGCCCGCCGTGAGTGTCTTAGACATCTCCAAGTGAAGAAGGCAAGATGCATTCTGTGTAAAAGCAAGTGTGCGGATATACACCTCTAGTTACTCACGGCATTAGTAGCACACCAAAACACATATATATATATAGTATAAAATACAGATTAGATATAGGCATATCTATGTATATTATACACGGTACATATATATGTATGCATACTGAACATGCATATACATGCATGTATTTACAAGGTTCACGAAAACGTGCGTGGATGCACCTGAGCGTACATGCTAGGCGCTGAACTGACTGTTTAGAACTTGAAGAAATCACTTAAATAAAGAGAGATATTCTGATTGCTCAACGGGTTCAACATAATGTGCAAAGAACGGGAGTAGAGCGAAGGCGGGAGCCCCGTGAACAGCACAGAAATATAAATGAAGGCGCTATACACCGCAGGGACCTGAAGCAAACGAAGACGCATACAACGGTTAACCTCTTCACCAAAAAGCAAATGAAAGCAAGTTTGGACTCCAACACATGGAAATCATTTGCGCCCGCAGCTATTGCTCCCTAATCATTTGCTTTTGCATCTGCTGCTGCTGTCTCAGTTTCACTATTGAAAAAAAGCCACCCGAACTGCCAAAAAAGTAAACGCAGAAACCGTTGTGAGCTATTAAGAAAGTCTCCACCAAGACTGGTGGTTTCATAGAAGTGGAAACAAAGACAGCGGCGACCGGTGTGTTTGGCAACCAACTAATTGAAAAATCACCAGAAACAAATTAAAGTTGAAAGCTACATTACCAAAAGTAACTGCTAAGTCCAAAATGGTGCGAGAAAGCAGCCTTTCAGTGGAAGTCTGAGATGAACAGCAAATCTGCAGCGTTCTATGAACGACTAACTTCCTCTTGCTGCTTGCTGGTCACTGAGTGTAAACTGAGAGCAAAAAGGCCCGTACAAATCATTCAAATGAAAACAACCAGTGCAGGAGTAACAGGAAATAACTTTATTTTTAGCTGAAAGCTTACGCGAGACAGCAGCAAGTATAATAGGATCGTGAAAACCAAAAGGCAAACCCGCTGCCCCCAGACGTAGTTGTTCAAAAAGCGGTTCACGAAGCAAGTGTCCGAAAAGTACGGAGAAATCGCCTGCCAGCCACTGACAAAAACGCAAAAGAAAAAAGCAACTGCAATTAACAAATTACTAAAGGATGAGAGCTAGAAATACCAGATTAAGGTGAACCAATAATGCATGCAAATGCCAGCAATTCACCAATAGTCCACACTTTAACGCTCAATAAGAAGGGCTGAATCATTTGAGGCCGAACCTCCCGTCAAAGTTAAAAGGACTGAAGCTAGCAACCTTCACAAGGGCCAGGAATAAAAACGTAAATGTTTGTGGAATGAATACAGAAGTACTTTTGTTGTATTCATCTATTGCATACGCGAGCTGACTAGCAAAGCGTGCCAAACACAAAGGCAACCCCTAGGAGCAGAAAATTGACACACTAATTTAAAGATGAATATAAGTAAATTAAAGTGCTGTTGGTCTAATCCGCTCACTCGAGAGGAGGGAAGGGGATGAGGTTCACCACTGCCGACATGAACTGCAAGAAAATGAAGCTGCAGAAAGCCACAACAGAAAAAGGTGCAAAAACCTAAACAGCTCCCTCCGGTTTTTCCTCAAGTTGATGCAAACAGGAAAATACAACAATAACCAAAAGCAAATTAGGAAAGGCAAAATGAACAAACGAACGAACCGGCATGGAAGCGGCAATTGGCGCAGATGGCACGAAAGAACAAACACACACACAACAAACAAGCAAGGAAAAAAGTAAGAAGGAAACAAATGAACGAGAGAGCTCCAAATCAAAGAAGAAAATTAAACAAAGAAAAAGGCGGACGGACAAATGCATGAGCGAACGGTCCGTTGCTCAACGAAATGAGATCAAATTGACGGGTGGAAAAGCAAATGGAGAGGATCCCCAAAACGCAACCCGCAATTGACACAAATGAATAAACATAAGGCAAAAAAACTAGGAGTACTTGAACGCAGACAGTGCAGTAGCATTCGTCAACAACAGTGAGCGGCCTAATTGCGTCATTTCCTATTATTAACTTACCAAAAGCCATTATGGGAACATTCTTATCCGCTTACGCACTAAAGACTCACCAAATAAGGCCGATAATAGGCAGAGGAATGATTGAAGGATTTGCACTTGCAGCTAAAATATAAACTTGGACACAAAAACTGCCCAGCATGCCAAGCAGCAAGTTGGTGGCGGGCCCGGCTGCAGAAAGCAGCAGCAAAGAGGCAGAAGAGGCTAAGAATAATTTAGAAGCAACTAAAAACTTATTTTGAGTTGTTTCGTAATCCTAAGCACAAAATGAGAACTAGGAACAGCCAGCAACCCACCCAGCGCTATGGCTGTTTTCCACCCGCGGCTGCGCACTGCGCGTTCCTGTAGGGCGAAAACAAAGGCAAATAAAAGTAAAAATAATACTTTGACTCATTTCTTTGTTTGGGACAAGTCAAATTGGGCGAATTAACGAACCCTTTATAATTTCGAATCCAGTTTAATTCCAACACCTACGTGAGTACAGGTGTATCAATGTGCATACGTACATGCGGTTAAAAGCAACATCTTCATGCACCAAATAAGCGGCATTTTAGTGGAAACCTCTAGATTTGCGCATGCATGCATTTTTTGGCGGCAAAAACACTTGTAGAAGTACAGATACAAACATTTTAGAGGTGGAATTAAAGACCTGTAAAACAAGAAACAGACAGGTGAACTAAGCCATAAAAGGACAAAATGGAAGATCAATTGTTTGAAAGCATCTTGTGAGCAGGGAAACGGCCAAAATGAACGAAGCAAAGCAGCGGAAAACTAAGTGAAGAGGCCAGGCGGACAGCCAACTGAAGATGCAGCTTTTTAACAAGGAAACAATGAAGGCTTGAAATGGCAATTGTTCAAAACTTTTCTCAAAAAACTAAAGTGCTACTTGGCTTACATCTATGTTCACTCTGCCTCCAGGCAACACGATTCCTCCGGTGGCCACAAAGAACACAAAAATAAGAACGTCAAGGATCCCCACGTAGCGAATCAAGTCGCATGTCAGGTACCCCTGAACAAGAAAAAGACAGAAAACAAAACAAAAAAGTAAAGCATTAGACCAAATATATAATCACAGCAAGTTTCACAGAGGGTAAGACCAAGGTAAGACTTTGTTTCAGCAGATACATTTTGAAACTGGCTGCTTCGAATAAAGAGGTGCTGCTTTAGGCCACAAGAAAGCAGAGCTTCGCCGCACTGTTCTGTGGGGGCTTTTTCAGTAATCAAATGGTAATTAAATTAGCCAAATGAATGGACTCAAAAATATATTGTATCGCCCCACCGACTCAGCCACGCCCTCCACCCCAGCTTGGTAGGCAGTAGCCGCATGTGCGAATTCGTGGAGGCAAAGGCCAATAAGACACAGCAGCACTGTGAAGGCAGAAACACAAGCCTGAAGACAAATAGTACAATTACAAAGGAAACAAAGTAAAGAAGTCTCATTGGCGCAGCTCAATGCAAATGCTTGGAGTCCAGGGGAGCCACGCCAGCAAGTAACCGTTCGGAGTTCACAGCGTGGGAACCAGGGTCAAGTGTTTACGGCTGCAGGGATGAAGAGTGCTGCAAGACCAGCTGTAAGGCTAAGCAGCAGCAGCAGCCACAGGACAGGCGAAAGGCCGAAGACCGGGGGCGCCCAAAAAAGGGGTCGAGGTCCCCACGTAGGCCGCAGGACAGAAGCTGGGGGGAAGCAGCAAAGGGGCTTCCTGGAGGCTTCAAGGCATCTTCCTACAATACCTTGCTGCTGCTGCTGCTGCTGGCCTCCTGCAGCCAAAGGGAGCGCTAGACCCTGCTGTCGCGTGCTGGGGTTGGGCCCAGGCCAAATAATACTGAGGTCATAGCAGAAGAAACGCACGAGGGGGGCTGCAGCTTTCTGTCGATGCAAGTTGCATGTTGTCGGTGTGGTGTCTGCGCGCAGCTGCGCCGCACGATCTTCCCCTACAGGCTAAGCCCCCAACTGTTAAGCTCTACAGCAAGCTGTGAAATTCGAATTTATCTGGATGGGAATAGACAGAAACGCACTCGCCCGTTGCTGTTATACGAGGGCCTCCGCCTTGCGGCTGCGGCGCCATCGGTGTTACGAGGAAAGCAGAGGAAAGCTAAAGTGACCCGCAGCAGTTGTCGATGAACTTTGTTAGAATGAAACTAATTCAACATATATAATTGAGTACCTTGGGGAAAATCCAAGGAGGATACGACAAACTAGGCTGTGGCTGCTGGACCAAAGCCAACCCGTCGGCGGTGTCCGCAGCCCGGTAGACTGTTTACAGAGAACGGGACCAAATTTGATAGTTGCAGTCAACGTATTTAATATTAAAGTCTCATTTTTCCTTTACACCTACAAGGCGTACCCAACGGCACACGTGGACTTGTTTCGACTAGTCGAATGAGTGAGGGAGCACTGCATGGCCGATTGGCTGGGGCCGGTGCTCTTTGTGTCGTCCCTCTAGCAGTCTGCGCTTCCTTAATAATGAAAAATAGTTAATTAGAGCAGTTTCATTGGTCTTTGATCAACTAATAATAGCTCTAAGGGAGCGACTTAGGAAATATGGCCTGGCGCCACTTAACGGGGCTCGGCATTCAACTACGTAAAACTCGACTACTTCTGGCGCCAGTCTATACTGCGCAAAACAGATTGAAATTATATAATATGAATTCAAGCAAGAAGGATTCAAAATGACGAGGGCTCAAGAAGCCTTGCCCTCCTTCGCCTGCTCTAATGTCTGAGAAACTCTCAGCAGGAGAAAACACATTGGAGGTCAACAAACACAACATTTTGTGCCATAATTGAATGGAAAATAGTGCCTATATTTTTGCTGCTGAACATGAATTTGGACTGCACACACACCCGACCAACAGCAGCTTTGGACTGACATCCTTAGCTGCCTCTTTCTCCAGTCGCGCCTTACAGCTTCTGCTGCTGCTGCTACTGAGTCTGCTGCTGCTACAGAAGCAACGGCGACTGGGGGCTGCAATAGCGCCACTCCAGGCCGAGGAGCACAGGAGCTGGGGGGGACGCAGCAGATGCATTTGAACAGACTTTGCTGTCCCTGCTGCTGCTGCTGCTGCTGCTCTGCTCAATGTCTTCAACACAAGCTGAGGGCTTAGAAATATATGTACATTTGGAGTTCATGGGGCGACGGGAAAGCGCACACGCGGGAAGAGCCGGCATCCAGGGTATTTGTGCACATGACGCCGAAGTCGCAAAGAAAGCAGCAGCAGCATCGCCTTGATCAAGCGTCCCTCTTTGGAATTTTTTGCTTGATTCTGCCGTTGCTGCTGCTGCTGCTGCTGCTGCTGCCGCTGCTACTGCTGGAGTGATTGTTTGTGACATGTCTTCTTTTTCATCATAGGCTGCCGGGAGCCGGAGGCCTGCTTCCTCGGCTAGCGGCAGCTGATGGAACTCTAGCAACGAGTGTTGCTGTTGTGAATAGGATATGGACTTATATCTTTTGAATGGACAAGTAGCATCCCCAGCTGGGACCACCGACCAATGGCCCACCAATCCCGGTGACTCACGTACTCCCCGTCGCTTCCTGCACCTGCTTTCCATGTTGTTTAAATCAGGAAAAAAACAAAAGGATCAATTTAAACTAAACGTCTTCATATTTCGGCTACGGAGGGTCAGGGGAAGGACGGAAAGCCGAACGGCACTGTGCGGGCGACGGGGAGCAGTGCGGCGCGCGGACCTGAAAATCGCCGATCCATCCATTCCTTCCCATTTCAAGGCGAAAATCGAATAATATTTTCTTGAAAATTACAATTACGTATCAAAAAGAGAGAAATAGTTGCAGGAGCTGAGAGAAATGCGCACAAAGGCGGCTTCGGCTGAGAAGGGTCAGCGGCGGCCCCCGGCGAAATGGCAGCCGCCACATGCGCACGGGCTCTCTTTTCCCATCTCTAAAGTCTATATTTTATGATGGACGCAAAGCTAAAAAGCTTAAAAGAATGGAGAGAGGAATTTATTTTAGAAATGGCATTGATAAGCCCACTGAAGTGCACGCTGTCCACTGGAGTGCCTTATTGGACTTGCACAGATCCCACTGAGCGCTTGCCCGTGGCGTTGTTTGCACTTTGTACTTTTCTTGAGAGATCTTGATGAAGCAGAATGGACCATTGGTCACCCTGAGCAACGCTTTAGGACACAGCGGAATGTGAACACACTTGGCGGCGTGGAGGCTTTGAGCCTGAATGGCAGCAAATTATTATTACTCAAACAGGAAGTCTTATTCCCCTGTGCTGCTGCAGATGGCCCTGAGCTGCAGCCACAGGCCTAAAGTCCAGCACGCTCTAAGTTGAATAAGGGCTCCTTCAGCGGGCGCTTTGCAACTCACTTCATGTATGCAAATATGAATACAAATTTGCGAAAACTGTGCAAATATTCACTTATTTCTTTTAGAAATATATACGTATTTGCATGTTTACTTAAAAAGATCTCCCAAGATGGCTGCAGGCAGTGCCAGTGCAGAGCAGCATTCCCCAGCAGCAGAAGCCCAGCCAAGGCGAACAAGCAGAAGCTGCTGCTTTTGCTTGTTCGCTGCTGCTGCACTGCAGCAGCAGCGCTGCTGCTGCTGCATTGCAGAAGCAGCCGCTGCTGTGAGCGCCTCGTCTGCTGCTGGGGCGGCCCGCGCTGGGGCTCTCCTCGTGAAGCAACAGCGGGGATCCGCTCTAAGGAATTAATTCCCTTAAAAGTCTTCGGCATTTAAATTCTTCTTTACTGCTCACGTCTAGATTGCTGCAAAAGTTTATACCCCTACTTAAGTATTCAAAGATTCGCACTCAAGAGGTTTCTGCCATTCACACTTCAGGCTCCTGCAAAGCATGTGTATACTTATACACATTTACCCGAATATCTATAAATGTATGTATATACACATATATATTACATCTACATACAAATAAGAAGGTAAATAGTTGCATAGACATATTTCTACTGGTCTATTTCCTACGCCAATAGAAGCATGCATGCATGATGTGCACACGCGTTCTGTATAATGCGAACAAAGATACTTCAAAACGTAATTATATACTTACATATTGCCTTTTTGCAAATTTAGTTTCTTTGGAGTTTTTCCCCTGCGGCCAGGCCCTGAAGCAGCTGCTGGGCGTCCCAGGGTCAGAAGCTGAGCTGTCCGCAGCTCAGCGGGCCTTCTCTAAGCAGCAGCAGCAGCTGCTGCTACTGCAGCAGCAGTTGCTGCTGCTGCTGCTCCGCCGCATTTACTGCAGCAGCAGTTGCTGCTGCTGCTGCTCCGCCGCATTTACTGCAGCTGAAAACTGCCGAGCTTTGCTGCTGCGCAGCTGCGCAGCAGGCCTGTTGCTGCGCCTTCCGTGCTGCGCAGTTTGCTGCTCTTTCCTTCAGAAACAAAATCAAATATTCGGAAATCAAATAATAGGGGCAGCAAAGCAGCATCCCACAGCTGCAAGAGGCAGCAGCAGCAGCTGCTGCCTAGCTCGACGCGAATGTGTTGCTGCTGCGGGGTCTCCGCAAGTGCAGCAGGGGGCCCCTATTTGCTTTTTCAGAAACTGTGGCATCTTCGTGCTGCAGTTAACTGCAGCAGCAAGAAAAACGCATTCTACTTAATCTACAGCAACAAGTCCGTCAAAGCAGAGGCAGCAGCAACTCTGAAGAAGAGCTCAGTAGCACCCCATTAGAGAGCCAGAAAAGATCTCGGGGGGCCCAAGAAAGTGCTGCTTTAAAGGCTTTTTGATTCCTTAAATTTGTCTGAAGCTGCCCGCAGCTGCCCAGGTGCTGCGCATTTCCAGTGTACGTACAGCTGGACAGCTGCGCCCTACAGTGTACGCGCAGCCACTGCTATTGCTGCTGCGCGCCTCTGTCCGCAGCTCCAGCAGCAGCAGCAGCTGCTGCTGCTGCTGCTGCGGCGGCGGCTCTTGTACCGCCTCGTCTTCCAAGAGAGGGTTAACGGCTAGAGCAGCAACTGTACAGTGCCCGTTTCCCTTTGGAAGCAGCAGCAGCACCAGCAAAACAACCAAAAATGAATTTTTAGTTTTTGCAAAGAGGAGATTGCCTGGCCCCCCTGCAGCAGCTCAGGGCGCCTCCCGTTTATGGCTAAGCACCCCTGCCTGCTGCTGCTGCTGCTGCTGCTGCTGCTCTTCTACCTGCTCATCTTCTAAGAGCGGGAACCTGAGAATAGCAGCAACTCCACCGAGGAGCCCCAGCTGTTCGCCCGTGGTGTGCTGGTCTGAAAAGGTGAGGGTTTCAGCTCCTGCTGCTGCTGCTTGCTGCAGCAGCAGCACGTAGAACTTGCGTTCACTGAGTTCGCAGCTACGCAGCAGCGCCTCGCTAACCATGAGGGTCTTGACAGCTCCTGCAGCGACAGCGCGCTGCACCTCTTCACGCCCGTAGCAGACGAGCGAGCTCTGCTCGTAGCTGCTGCTGCTGCTGCTGCTGCTGCTGCTGCTGGAGTGCTCGTGCAGCAAGGCGCGGCGGGAGTCTTTGTGGTAAGAGTTGTTGAGCATGCGGTAGAGCTGGTCAATACATGCAGCTTGTCTGAGGGCTTTGGTGTCTGCGAGGAGTTTCTGGACTTGTTCATTTTGCAAGAGTTCATTAAGCGCGTGTCTGTAGGCGGAGGACGCATGCAGCAGCAGCACGCAGCTGCGCTTCTGCAGCACAAGCTTGCGGTCTTGCTGCTGCGCCTGCTGCAGGAAGAAGGCGAAGAACTGCTCCTTGTAGAAGCCCGGGCCCGCAATGACGAGGGCCTTGAGCTGCTGCCAGTCCACGTGCTGCAGCAAAGCTGCTGCTACTTCGCGGAAGAAGCGCTGCAGCGCCTTGCTGTAGCCTGCTGCAGCAGCACGGCTTCTGGGCAGCGGCGCAGCAACGCGGGCCAGGCAGCGCGACAAGTTGCTGCTGACGCACAAGAGATTCGCAAGGCCTGCCTGGATGAGCAGCACGAGGGCTTCTGCGTTGGCAGCAGCATCTGCTGCAGCGCGCAGCTGCCGCTCGTGCTCCGCGTCAAACTCTTCTTTTGTTAAACTGATCTCTTCAGGAGCTCCCACTTCCAAAGTGTGGTGCGCGCCCAGCTTCGCGTGGGGTGTATCGACACACACTTGCCCGGAAATCCGCAGCCGCGCCGCCGCGCCTTCGAAGGCAGTGGCTGTCACTTTAATCGAAAGTTGAATTGTTCGCGTTTCTGCTGCCACGCCTCCCGCTGCAGTTTCCCGCTGCACTTTCCTAATTGTCTGTGCCCGCACGCAGTCGCCCACCGAAATAAAGTTGTACAAAAACCAAACGTCTTCCGCGCTTTCCAGCAGCAAGCGCACGTTCACCCCCTCCCGCTGCTGCAGCCGACGCAGAACGCGCATCTTCCTCCAGCATCGACTCACCCAGTGACCACTGGACCACTACTCTGACCGCCAAAAACTCTTTAAAAATAGGCTGCTGAACCCGCAGGCGCCGCCCCGGAGGAATACCCCGCCAGGATTCAACACTGGAGACCAGAAACTGCAGCAAAGCCGATGCAGGAAAGCTGCAGGTACTCAGCTGCTGCTGCCACTGCTACAGGCTCTCATTTCGAGAAAAAGTATAAAAGTGACGCAATCAAGGGATAAACAGCGAAATCAGCGCGCCGTGCAAGTCTTACGAAGACGCCGGGCCGTTTGCACGTGTTCCGAAGTCACTGCAGAAACGAGGGCATACGACGGCGCCAGCTGCAGTTTCATTGGGCAATTTCAATTTAAACTCAAAAACAGAAAATAAACAGCTAAATAAAAGAGGATGAAAGTCTCGCTGCCCAGCGATTCAAAGTTTCTGATGCGAGCGACATCCGAGCACACGAAGTCTAGGTGGAAAACGCAGATAAGTTCTGCGATTGCGGGTCTTCCCCGCTGCTGCTTCGACGACTAGACGAAAAAATACATTTAATGCAATTTAGTGAATCTTAACTCGAAAAAATGACGCGGGCTTGTGGGACTCCCTCCCAAAGTAGGTGCTGGGCAGAGGACGGGAGGCTCTAGTGCTTGTCTTCGCGTATTCTATGCAGCAGTTGGCTGCGAAGACCCCAGAGAACGAAAGGCTCTAATGTTTGTCTTCACGTACTTCTCTCCAAATTGCATTGCTCTAAACATCAAAGATTCCGTGAGGTCCGTTGAAGACTGTCGGCGAACAGCCCCAGCAGCTTCCCAGCAAAAACGCCAGCATGTGGGATTCTGGCTGGGCCGGCGCTGCGCTGGGGAATTGCTGCTTCAGCAAACAACAGCCAAAATAATTGATTATTTTAAATTGCAAAAGAACGGGAAGCGGAACTCATTAAATACGCAGTCTTCGCACTTCGCAGCCCCTCCGCACACATGGAGGTCTCATATTGTTGCAATCCATTCGCAACTCTACGTCTTTTCGTTTGTTCCAGTGCCCATTTCACAATTCTCAATTCAGAGTCCTTAGAGAGCACTGACACCGATTTATGCCACATAAAAAACCCCGAAACAATAGAATTCTTTTCGCACCACTCGTCACTTACGAGGCAACACAAAGTTCGATACGGAAAGACGAATTTTTCAAGGAGTTTCAAGTTTGCCTTAAACAGGCGCCTGTCTTGACGAATATCTTAGCTCGGACTTAGTCTGAATAAAGAAACATAATCAAGAAAATAAGTGGGGGCATATTGTGCTGCTTTGGCCGGTGGCTTTCGTGACGCCCAGCAATGCATGCACTCAGCCAGGTCTTGTGCTGCACCCTCCAGTGCCGCCTTGAGCCCTGCCAGGTGGCCGCCTTGCCTGTGCCTCGCAAGCTAGCTAGATGGCTAGCTGATTAGCTAGATAACTTGCTAGCTAGCTAGCTAGCAAGTCGCCAGCTACGTAGCTGTTCGGCGAACTGCGCAGCTCACGGGCCTGCCGACTTGCCGGGCGATTCGCGGCCCGGCTGGCAAGCTAGCCAGCTAGCTACCTGCCAGCTAGCCAGCTAGCTAGCAGTTAGCAAGCTAGCCAGCTGGCTAGCCAGCTGGCTAGCCAGCTAGCTAGCGAGCTAGCTGGCGCAGGAGCTGGACCGCTCTACACGGAAACAAAGCAGGAGCCCCACATGCCTCTGGAGTTTCTGGTCTTGTTGAAATTCAGAACAATTGCTGGCAGCTTTTTGAGTTCACTTAAATCTGTTGCTGCTTCAGGAACTGGAGCAAAGACTCCCTCAAAGACAAACCCGCGAGGAACAGGAATCCCAGTGTGGGGGTGCGGCACTGTCTCGCTGCTGCTGCTGCTGCTGGTTCCGCCAGCTGCTGCTGCAGAAGGGCCTGCTGCCGTTGCTGCTGCTGCAGCAGCAAAAGCGGGAGAGTCGCGCAGCAAAGCCGCCACTTCCTCGCGTGTGAGGGCCTTCTGGGCCACAGCCTGTCAAAGCGTCGTTGTATGCAAAAGAAAACACAAAGATAAAATCAAAAAATAAAACTGACGTTTTAATAAGTGCATTTGTACTTACAGATAAACAATTATACAGAAACGTCGAGGTCACGGGGAGTAGAGCAGCAGCAGCAGCAGGAGCAACAGCAGCTCATCACGCTGCATGCAGAATGTTAACGCAGCTCGGGGCCCCTGGGGCCCCCTGGGGGGCCCAAGAGGCCCTGCAGGGTCCCGGAAGAGAGCGGGCAGCAGCTGTGAGGGGTGCCATTAATGTTGAACTTAGGGTTTAGGGTTTAGGGTTTAGGGTTTAGGGTTTGGAGGGTCTTTCTTTCGAGTCCTCACTGCTTCGGTGATGGCCCAGCTGGGGCCCGCCGAGGCGTCTACAGTGTAAAGAAAAGAATCCTCAAAGACCTGCAGCGCATGCAGCTTTAAAGACAATTCCATTTGCCGCAAAATGTCTGTTACTAACATGTATATTTATTGTAAATATATATACATTAGACCAATATACATATTTTCATATTTATATATATGAATATATGCATGCACGGATACGAGTGTAATATACACATGTACACAGGCGTGCTGCAGCAGCAGCAGCAGCAGCATCAGCGAACGCAGCAGCACTTCAAAGGCAGCAGCAGCAGCAAATGTCTTAGGGGCCCCACATTCTCCCCCCACAGCAGCAAAATCAGCAGCGGCAGGCTCCACAGCAGCAGCGGTAGCAAGGTTAAACATGTAGCAGCACGAACAGCGCAACAGCAGCGCAGCACAACAGCAGCAGCGGCACAATGACCGCAGCGCAGCAGCAGCAGAACAGCAGCTGTAGGAGCAGAACAGTAGCAGCACCACAACAGCAGCAGCACAATAGCAGCAGCAGCTTGATAACAACAGCACAGCAGCAGCAGGACAGCAGGAGAAGCAGGCTCCAGGGCATCCAGCGCAAAAACAGGGTCCCCACGGCAGCAAACCCCACAGCAGTAGCAGCAAGTGCAGCAGCAGCAGGTGCCGCAGCAGCAGGTGCAGCAGCAGCGGGATTTTACCGTTTTTCCGAGAACTTTGAGGCGGAAGTGCCTGGGCCTGAGCTCGACAGCCAGGTGCTCTCTGCGGATTCCCTTTTTAAGCAGCAAGGCCAATTCAAAAGCCCCATTTGTTTCTTGCCAACCATAAACAGAAGAAAGACCCTGCATGCGGGGGCCCCCCTCGTAGCCGCCGGCGTTGATGGGGGCCCCCAGGCGGTGCTCCAGGTACCCTCGGGAGCCGCAGAGGCTGGGGTCTTCTGGGGTGTTCAGCCCGTGCAAGTCCTCGAAATAGTCTGTTAAAAAGGCGTAAAAGGCTCAAATAAATCATTTAATTATTTAAAATAATTTAATCGTTGTGTTTTTTCTCGAAGATCCGCACTTTTTTTGCATGCTTTCGCTTCAGATCGAGAGCCGAAATGCCCGCAGCCGTTCGCTGGCTGTCCCACAGGGAAGCCGTAAGTGTAAACGGACAAACACACTTAAATGTTTTTAAATAATTAAATATAATTCAAATATAATACCTTTTAAATAGTATTTATGTGTGCACATTTGAATGTTAAAATGTTTAAATATAATTCAAGTATAATAACTTCAAAATAGTATTTATGCATGCACTTATGCGTGTGCATGTGTATGCAAGTAAATGTACATTTATACTTGCATACATGTATACACATACATTCATATTTACATTCATATTTGCACTCGTACTCATATTTGAATTCTATATTTATATTTATATTTATATTTATATATATTTATATTTATTTATATTTGTATTTATATTTATATAAATATGTGTATACATGTGCGCATGCACATGTGCAAAAATCCGAATTTTCAAATACAAGCAAAACTCATACAGATTCAGCAGCACAAAATGCAGCAAATGCATGCACTGCAGGCTTTCGTGAATTCTTTTTGCATGAAAGGATTAAAACGGTTTCCAATAAAACAATAAATCCATAATTTCTGCATATTTATTCCAAAAGATCTCGACAACTGCTGCAGCAGCAGGCGCCAAAAAGCCGCATGTTCTTGCAAATGCTGCAGCAGCAGGAAGCTGCGAGGCGGTAGAGGCTGTTTATTTTTTCTTGCCGTCTTTATATTGAATAATAAAAATAAAATTAAAATTAATTTGACAAAAAGTTTTAAATAAATTCAAAACAGTTTTGGCAGACCTGCTTGCTGCTGCTTGTGCGCCTTCGTGAGCTGCGGCTGCAGGTCCTCCCACAGAGGGCTTTGAGGGTTGCTGGCCATTTCGTCCTGAGGCAAAATGAGGGTTTAGGGTTTAGGGTTTAGGGTTTACAGCACTTAGCCTAGGGCGGCTCTGGCTGGATAAGCCAGTAGCAGGGCCTCCACGCAGGGGTGCCGGCGAGGGTTTAGGGCTTGTGCCTAGGGGTTTAGAGTTTGCGGCTAGGATTTAGGGTTCGCGGCTAGGGTTTAGGGTTTGCAGTCAGGGTTTAGGGCTTGGTACTTACGTGTATAGACTGCTTCAGCATATCTGTCTTCGCCTCAATGACATCTCTTGTTGTTAGCCCATCGGGTATTTCCTCAACAGGAAACTGCTGCTGCAGCGGCAGCTGCCGCTGCCGCTGCTGCTGCTGCTGCTGCTGCTGCTGCGGCTGCTGCTGAAGCAGCTGCTCCTCCATTTCGTCGGGCGCAATGCCCCACCAGCGAGTCCCGCGCTCGTGGAAGCTGCACAGAGTCATGTCCAGCCTGCAGCAGCAGCAGCAGCAGCAGAAGCAGCAGCAGAGGCAGCAATAGCAGGAGCAAGTGCAGCAGCAAGAGTAGTAGTAGAAGCAGCTGCAGCAGTGGAGTAGCAGGCAAGGAGGCTGGAAGCGGAGGGGCTAGCAGTGGAGAGAAGGGCTTTAAAAGCAGCGTCAGCAATATCGGCAGCAGCAGCAGCAGCAACAGCAGCAGCAGAAGCAGCAGTAGCAGCAGCAGCAGCGCGGTAGGGCGCAGTGCCCTGAAAAATACGCGCAAATGTTCCAGCTGCCATTGCACAGCTTTCGCTGCCACCACGGAGCTGCAGCAGCTGCAGCAGCAGCTGCTGCTGCTGCTGCAGCTGCTGTTGCTGCAGCAGCTGCTGCTGCGCATCGAGTATGTCTACGCACATGAGCCATTCCCTGCCCGTCAGCTCCACGGCGTCTTGCGCACCCAGTGGCTGCTGCTGCTGCAGCTGCAGCTGCTGCTGCTGCAGCTGCTGCTGCATGTGCTGCAGCCGCTGCTGCAGCCGCTTGATCCGGTCCTGCTGGTCCAGAGGCAGGGGGGGCCTCGAAGCTGCTGCTGCCCAGGGGGGCCCCTCGGGGGGCCCCTGGGGGCCCCCCATTTCTCTTGCTGCTGCTGTTGCATTAAAAGGCAGCAAAAGATTTGCTGCTTCTGGAAGATATAAAGAAGGAGATAAAAGAAAGAGAGCTCTTTCGTTGTGACGCATAGTCAACACGGCCTCGCGAATGCCCGGAGCCGTGTTGGCCTGCAGCACCCAAACCCTAAACCCTAAACCCTAAACCCTAAACCCTTGAGCCTGAGCTGATGGTGCTAGGGCGAGCTCTGAAGCCAGCAGACGAAACCCTCGCCGGTGCTGTCTGCTGCGAGCAGCTGCTGAGAGGGTCTAGGGTTTAGAGTATTTTAGGGTTTAGGGGTTTTTAGGGTTTGGGGTCTAGGGTTTAGGGTTTGAGTTGGGGTTTCGGAGTGGGCATAGAGTCTGCTTCATGATGCTGCTGTCCAGGGGGCCTGGTGTAGAGTACCCCTGGGGTTTAGGGTTTAGGTTTTAGGGTTTAGGCTGACAAGGGGCACTTGAATGAACTCAGAATTTAAAGACTTGTTGTCCAGCAACTTCAAACCCTTAATTGTCATTAAACAAAACTCCAAAACAACTTCGCTGTTTAAAGAAGGGTTTTCCTCGCCCTCGCCCTCCAGCACCAGCCTTTTCAGCAGCTGCACGCAAACCCTAAACCCTAAACCCTAAACCCTAAACGCTAAGCCTTGAGTTGTGCGATGCCCTCGCTTGCAGCCGCAGGCGGCCCCGGGCCCCTCCGCCCGAAGGTGCAAAGCAAAAGGAGATGAAGCTGCGCCGCCCCATTGCCTAGGGTTTAGGGTTTAGGGTTTAGGGTTTAGGGTTTGCTGCACCCTTTGGCCGCTAAGCAGCTGCCACACAGCAGGGGGGGGGGCCCCCTTGGAGAGGGGGGCCCTCTTCTGCTGCTCTATCAGCTCTTGCAGCCAAATGGAGTCCGCGTACAAGTCTGCTGCTTGCATGCACTGCGGGTCTATGCTGCAGGCTGCTGCAGCAGCAGCAGCAGGAACTGCTGCTGCTGCTGCTGCTGCTGCTGCTGCTGCGGGCTGTTGCTGGGCTCCCCCCTCTTCTGCTGCTGCAGCTGCTGCTGCTGCAAGCCCCCCTCCCCTGCAAACGGCTGTAAGCTGCAAGGGGGTCTCCCAGGGCTCCCGGGAAGCAATTAGCTGCGCAACCATGTGGGTTGTGGGGGCCCCCTGCATGCAGGGGGGCCCCATATAAACGCTTGGGAGCCCCCTTCAGCTCTGCTGCACTCAACAGGAATGCTGCGGGGGGCCCCAGCTGCCCCGCACGACCTAGGGCACTGGCCCCCAGGGAGGGGCCCCCCAAGGGGGCCCCCGCCGAGGGGGCCCCCAAGGGGCCCCCGTGCAAGCGGATGGCGCCAGCCTCAGCTATAGCGTATAAAAGAAACAGCAGCAAAAAGAGGGGCCCCTGGGGGCCCCTGAGACGGCGGCTGCGGACTAGCAGGGGCCCTGGGGGCCCTTGGGGGCCCCCATGGAGGCCTCCACTGGGGCCCCCATGGGGGCCCCCAAAGCGGGAGCTCGTCTGCTGCATATTAGTTGCGAGGTTTCTGCCCCCATTACTCGGGCCTGATAATTTGCTGCGAGCTCCTGGTACGCACCCCAAACCCTAAACCCTAAACCCTAGACCCTAAATCCTGAACACTTAACCATAGTGCCGAGGGGATTTCAAACACACAGAAGGGATAGCTAGGGCTCAGGCCTCTCTAAAAGGATATTCAGTTTGCAGCAGAGGGGGCCCCCAGGGGAACATGTAAGAGGGTCTGGGGGGCCCCCCATTTACTTCAAGGGCTGGGGCTAACTGGGGCCCCCGGGTGGCGCCTTGATGCGTTGAAAAGAGTTTCAAAAGGCGAAATAAATTTGAAATAGAAAAAGGGTACTTTTTCAAGTAACAATTCAGTCTGGGGGCCCCCAGGAAGGCCCCAGACCCAGTGTGGCTGCAGGTACCCTGGGGCTGCAGCAGCTGCCATTCCTCGCGGTTGGGGGCCCCTGCCTCTTTTCCTCTCAATTTATGATTAATTAATTGATTAATTAAGTTTTTCTCGTCGTTTTTTCCCTTAATTTCCCCGCAATTGCGAGAAGGGGCCCCACGTCTAGCCCCCGCCCTTCCCGAGCCACCGACCCGAACACGCACGTACACCACAGACTACAAGCAGCAGCAGCAGCAGCAACAAAAGCAAAAAAAAAAGCAGCAGCAGCAGCAGCAGCTATCTTGTATTGCATGCAATTTATGAAAGTCAATTTTTGTCGGTAGGGGCCCGCCGTCCGAGCCCTCGGGGGCCCCCCTTGCTGCTACTGCTGCTGCTGCTGCTGCTGCTGTTCCCTCGCTCTGTACAGTGACCCAGATGGGGAGAAACACAGAGACGTGCCTCTTGCTGCTCCCCAGCAGTGCGTGGAGGCTTGGACTTAGGGTTTAGGGTTTAGGGTTTAGGGTTTAGGGTTTCGGTTGGCGCCGGCCTCCGCCCTCCTCTCCAAGAATGGAAGGGCCCAGTGCGCAGCAGCAGCTGCAACTGCTGCAGCAGCAGCAACCGCCGCAGCTGCAGCAGCAACTGCAGCAGCCGCAGCAGCCGCAGCAGCCGCACGCACAGCTGATGCAGCAGCCGACCGACCAAGCTTTCCGGGGGCTGGCAGCGCAGCAGCTCCAGGTGCCCCAGCAGCAGCAGCAGCAGCAGCAGCAATCCCTCTACCCCCCTCCATCCAGTTTGGCGCCCCCTCGGGGCTTTTCTGGCCTGGCGTCTCCTGTTGCCTCTTCTTTTCCACCGCCAGCAGCAGCAGCAGCTGCTGCAGCAGCAGCAGCCGCAACACCAGCAGCAGCTGCAGCAGCTAGCGTTCCGCCTGCGCCCAGCATCAGTCCTCTGCATCAGCCGGCTCAGCAGCAGCAGCAGCAGCAGCAGCTGCAGCAGCTGCAGCAGCTGCCACAGCAGCAGCAGCCGAGCTTGCTGTCTTATTCTCGCCCCGCGCCCCCATACAATTTTTTCTCCTTTTCGGGCGGGCCGAAGCCCTTCATGCAGCAGCAGCCGCTGCAGCCGCTGCAGCAGCAGCAGCAGCAGCCGCTGCTGGCTTCTGCTGCTGCTGCTGCTGCTGCTTGCGGCTACAGCGGGGCGTCTTCCCCAGTTCGTCAGCAGCGGGCGACTTCCTTCTTTGCTGCTGAGGGCCCCCTGGCGTGCGCGCACAGCAGCAGCAGCAGCAGCAGCA